TAAGGTTTTTTTTTTTGTCTTTTGGACGATAGTGTTGTTTTTTGGTCTAGATGGATTCTCCCAACCCTAGGTGCCCCAACGTGGGGTGTGGAACTGTCACGGGGCAGGTCTCAACCCCGTGACCCAGCCTTGTCCAGAGGACCTGCTTGGAGTGTGCCTTGGCCCCCGTGGTTTGCCAGGAGAAGAATACTCAGGCCATATTTGGAGCAAGTAGACCAAGGACAAGGTACTTTCTGCTGATTCTATGCTCTGGTCACCTCTAGCTCACACTGCGTCCGACCCCAAGGAAACACTCCACGCGACACGACAGCTTCATGGGGTAAGGTCAACTTTCACACTTGTATCCAAAGGGTCCCCCAAACTCCCCAACTACAAAACCTACAAGCTTAGAAACAAACACTATTCCAAGCCAAGAGATTGTTTTGGTCACCCACAGGACAAGGAATCTACGCCAAGGCCGTGGGGCCCGTCATCCCTGAAGGAGCCAGGCCCCCCTGCCGTGCTCTAGGGTGCCATTCCGTAGAAGGCGTCTCCCAGCCTATCCACCGGCGAAGATGGGCGCCTCCTGGAAAGGCTGGAGGCCACACGCGTCGTGGACAACTTCTTCTCTGATATGTTTTGCAGATCATTTCCTTCTGAATTTTCGACTAAATGCCTCCCTTTTGCTGACTCCCTATAATAGTTCAGTTCAGTTATTTGAAGTAAGTCCTAAGTCCTTAAAACAGACAGCCCGTTGGGGAAGCAGGTCTGAACTAAGACAAGACCACGCATCAGAACGCCGCAGCTCCTGCGGGCGCCAAGGAAGCACAGGATGACACCATCGATTTTCCGCTCCCAGGGAGGACGGAGGATGGTGTATCAGGACCGCGGTCCACCAGACAGTCAACAACCAGCTACTTGAGAGGCACTCACCTGCTCGTTTAAACGTTTTAGTAATGCGAAAGCTTGTCCTCATGACGTATTGTCTTCCCAGGGAATTTCGGGGAAAGAGTCACTCAGACCTGAGCGACCGATCAGCTGATGGAACCCCATTGCGGAAGGGTGTGCACAGCAGATGGGAGTCGGGCGAGGGTTCCAGAGGGACACAGGAGCAGGAGGCCACGTCTGGAGCAAGCATGTGGCTTCTTCCCTTTCTTCTCCTATGTGGCTGCCAGTGAGCGGGACAGCGTGGGAAGACGTGGCAGCTTCTGGATGAGGAGGCAGTTCTGTTATTTATGCAGACAGGTGGGCCCTCAGGGACGGACTTCAGCCCATCCTCTGGAGGCCTGTTCTCCTACTGTATACTACTGTATACTACTGTATACACCAGAACCCGTATACCAGAAACACACAGAGGCTGTCAGGGGCTTGCAAAAGCCTGAACAGATGGACAACAACCTTCTTGAAGACAGACAGACACGCGGGGCTGGTGCAGGTGGGGTGACCACCTGGGGCAATCAGCTCTGAGCGAGGGACACGCAGACACGGCCGGGGAGAGCCTGCAGGGCAAACACAACAGGTGGTCGATGCGAATGGCTCCAAGATGAAGGAGTGGCCGGTGGAGCGTTCTAGGTCCCCAGTCCAGCTGCATCCCCACGCAGAGGGGACATTTCCTCCTGGGATCCGGGGAGAGCAGAGCTACCTGGACGGCGGAACCCGCAGCTTGGGACGGACGCACGGGTGGAGAGCAGGGAGGTCAGAGTCCTCGGGGTCGGGTCCAAGGCTGCTGTTTAATCCCGGACAGCCCTCGGATGATTAACAGCAAAATTAATGTTCTGACGTTTCTTAAATGCCAACTGATCAGAATTCAAGGCCAGACCCTTGGGAGAGTGAGAGAAAGCAGGCTGTGTAGACAGATGGCCCAGCCACTCCGACTCCTGGCCAGCCTCTCCTCCCTCGTGAGCTCCACGTCGTCACCCAGAGGCTGGAGTTCCCAACACCCGGTGCCTTGGGAAGGGCGTCTTGTTCCCAACAGTCTACGTGAATTTAACCAGACAGATGGAGACCAGCGTGGCCGATACCCGTGGTTGGACATAAAGGCATGATACTTCACTCCCTTTCCCAGAGCCCTTGGCCCATCAAAGCACTCAACATCCAAACTCTGGGCGCCTGCAAGCGTCCTTTGATGCCCAAGGTGACTTTCCAAGGAGAAGGTGGGACACGGCGGGGGGTGCTCACTCTCGCACCACAGGGAACCTTGTGCCCAGGCAACTGCAGTGTGGGTCCCTGTCGCCCCAGGTAGGAGAGCCCCCTCCCTGGACCGGGACAGCTCCCCTGTCTAGGGGACGACAGTGCTCACCCATCCTGGAATTGTTTCTGGAAAGTTCTGTGGTGTCTGTTTGTTATCCGTTAAAATTACAATATGCCCAAGCGGTGGTCAGAGGAATGATTTTTGGAGGGGTGCATGGCAGGGAAAGGCCCAATGGCACCGAAATGAAGGGGCTTGAAGCTGGTCAGGGAGAGCGCTGCAGGTTGGTGCCTCCTACCCCGTCCGCCCGCCACAGAGGAGAGTCCCGGCCTGACTGCTGTCCGGTGCCAGGGCCCACCGCCCGCTGCCGGCTCTCTCCCTCCCTCGCCCCTGCCATCTGCTGCCAGGAGGCTCCCATGAGGGCTGAGGAGGCTGGGATGGATTCTCCTCCCTTCCTGTGGGCAGGTGTCCCTTCTTCTAAGAAACAATTTTTTTGGTAGAAATAATACTGAAGCTGTATTTTTAAGACTTTACACAGCATAGGCTTAAAGAATCATCGGGGACATGGGGTGCTGGGGGGCCGAGTCGGTGGGGTGCGCCACTCCTGACCTCAGCCTGGTGAGCCGGAGCCCCATGTTGGGCAGAGAGATGACTGAAAAATAAGACCCTTAAAAATCTTTAAAAAAAAACAAAACAAACAAACAAAAAACAAAGAATAATCAAGGGCGTAAAAATGATGACCGCACAGTAGTTTTAACCAGAAATCGTCATAAATCAATGATGTGAGGTTCGTTTTCCTCACATACACAGGGCGGTTGTTCTTTACAACGATCCCATTTTCCATTTGTGATGCTGTTTAGGCAAACACAGTTTTTACAAGTTGGTGCTGGAATCCTGGCCGACACCGTCCCCACAACCCTCCACACCGCACAGCCCGCCGACCAACCACCTGCCTGCGGCCCGTCGTGGCGGCCGTCCTTGCGCTGCGCCTGCCGTGGACAGAGTCCTGTGGATCCCCTGACTTTCGGTGGGAGGCTCTGTTCTACTGAGCAGAGAGGTCTGGGCTCCGGCAACTCCTGCCTCCTGAATGGGCTCGGGATTCTAAGGCACTTTTTTTTTTTTTTTAAAGATTTATTTATTTAATTGGGAGAGCGTGCATGTGTGTGAGCCAGGGGAGGGGCAGAGGCGGAAGGAGAGTCTCAAGCAAACTCCGGCTGAGTGTGGAGCCCAACCAGGACTCCGTCTCATCAGGACCTTGAGATCATGACCTGAGATCACGACCCTGAGATCGCGACCCTGAGATCACGATCCAGAGATCAGGACCTGAGATCATCACCTGAGTTCACAACCCTGAGATTGTGACCCTGAGATCATGACCCGAGATCATGACCTGCGTTCATGACCCTGAGATCATGCCCCGAGATCATGACCTGAGATCACGACCTGAGATCATGACCCTGGGATCACAACCTGAGCCAAAACCAAGTTGGACGCTTAACCGACCGCGCCCCCCAGATGCCCACACACCCAGAGCACTGACGCCCCTGACACAGGCACGTGGCCCCTGCTACAGGCCTAGGCCACCTGTGAGAGGACCGATACGGGGGCTGCAGGTCGTGGCTGCATGTGCCTGCTGGGCTATGGGGAAGGCCAGGCTCTGGCCGGACAGCGGGCACCCCCTGAACTCAGAAGTGGCCCACGACTCTCTTTTCACAGGTGGCCTTTTAGATCCCCCAGCTTCCCTGCCAGAGGCAGTGGCCCAGCAACCCTGCCATGCCTTCTGCCGCCTTCCCGGGAGACACACAGACACTGAATTTCACCCCTTTGTGTGGGACTCAGGAGGAAAGGAGCCACAGACCGGGGCCTGCGGGAGGGGCTGACAGCGGGTCTTCGGGCCACGGGTGCTGCCGCCACAGCCAGAGGGTGACACGCGTGGAGGCTGGGCATGCACGGAGTGTGCCCGCAGTCACACGGCACCCCTTCCCCTTTCACCTGTCACCTCAGGCTGCCACTGGGAGCTCCTGCAACCTCGTGCACACCGGAAACCTGAGGTCGGGGTGAATGACTTTGTCCGACATCACCAAGTGAGCAGAAGGCACCCGAGTCCGACCCAAGATCTGCAGGACACGCAAACCCACGCCCTCACCCAACACACGGCACCTGAGGCACCCAGCGGGCTCCGTGCGTGTCTTCAGGGCTCAGAGGCCAGGCCGGACAGGGCACATGGGCCCTGGGGAGGGCTGGTGCAGGCCAGACGCTGTCCAGTGTCCTCGGTGCCTAGAGCCACCATGACTCCTGCCCACTAAGGCACGGGGCACCCAGAGCCGTCACTGAAACAGAACCTAAGACCCTCCCACCCTCTGCTTACTGGTTAAATCTGCTCTTTGCTCAGTCATGAAAGTCAAAATGATCCTTTTTTTTCTTTCTATGCTGCCTGTGACAGAAAAACGTGGGAGCCCAAGGCCTTATCACCTACCGGTTCCTCTTGGTCCTCAGGTTCCGGTCTCCCCTGCCGTCCTCAGACTGAGACCCGTCGCTGTGGTCGGCTGGAAGAAAATCAGGTTAACGAGGTTGGATCGTCTGCGCCCATCACTCTGGCAAACCACCAAGACGCACTCCCTTTTAAACAGAGTCATCTGGGAACGAGGGTCACCGAGACCAAGCCCTGTCAGCAGCTTCTCGGGGCACTCCTTGTACGCTCCGGCAGAAGAGCAAGCGGCTGCCCTTCTGAGCAGGGGAGGCCTGTAGAAGCCACCTGATCATCCAGCAAAGCCAGGGGATTCTATGCTGCCTGCGACAGAAAAACGTGGGAGCCCAAGGCCTTATCACCTACCGGTTCCTCTTGGTCCTCAGGTTCCGGTCTCCCCTGCCGTCCTCAGACTGAGACCCGTCGCTGTGGTCGGCTGGAAGAAAATCAGGTTAACGAGGTTGGATCGTCTGCGCCCATCACTCTGGCAAACCACCAAGACGCACTCCCTTTTAAACAGAGTCATCTGGGAACGAGGGTCACCGAGACCAAGCCCTGTCAGCAGCTTCTCGGGGCACTCCTTGTACGCTCCGGCAGAAGAGCAAGCGGCTGCCCTTCTGAGCAGGGGAGGCCTGTAGAAGCCACCTGATCATCCAGCAAAGCCAGGGGACAGAGAATCGGCAGTGGGCATCTCCCAGCCCCTCTGTGGGCACCTGGGGACGCAGGCCCTGGCGGAGACCTTCTATGTCACGTGTGCCTTCATGTGCTCACAAGCGGACCAAGACCCCTGTCCCTCCCTCTGTCCGCTGCCTTCCCCTCCCCTGCACACGGCATGGACTTCACTCCGGACCACGTGTCTACTTCCAGAACCCAAACTGATTTTGACGACAGGTCCCCTATTTACATCCTGAGGAGACTGGTCTGGTAAATATTTGATGAGATTTGAAATGGAAAATAAAAAGGGGCTTCAGCATTTCATATTTGTCTCCAAAAGGGAGAGGAAACGCGAGGCTCAACCTGGCTCTGGAACGTTACTACTTCAGTCCTGACACACGGATGGGTCCACACGCTCCCCGGAACGTTACTACTTCAGTCCTGACACACGGATGGGTCCACATACTCCCCCACAACACACTGCTTTCGAGCCCGCTTCTCGCTCTGCATCCATCACGCCCAGGGGACCACTGTCCCATGCTCCCGTCCCTGGCATGCAGAGGTGCGGGGGACTGGGCTCTGCAGGGCATTTCCAGGTCCCCACGTCCCCCGGACCACCAGCTCCCTCGGCCCCACCTTCCTGAAGAGGCCCCACCAGGACAACACTGCCCACCGCCTCAGAGAGCGCCGTGTTTGGAACCCAGCGAAGCCTTCAATCCCGTCCACTCTTAGTTTGCTTCCAGTGTTCAGCGTGGGGCTGGCCGCAGAAGGAGAGAGTCGGGCTCTGGAAGCCTGCGTCTGTCCCAGCCCACCCCTCATCCCGGTTCTGGGGCCCCTCCCACCCATGAGCACCCATGCCACGCCGTGTGTACTCCACTGTCCTGGGATGCAGGGTGACACGAACGGGACTGAGAACTGGCCCCAGGAGTGTCCCACTCCGGAAGATGCTGGCCCAGGAAGGGCCTCATGGACAGGGACCCTGCGCACATGAGCTTGGAGTGGAGTGGGGCTCCCTGTGCGACAGGTGTGCGTGCTTGGGGGAGGGGCGGGCATTCGGGACGTCAGCTCCGGGAAGGCTGGTGTCCACACCTTAGTGGCACCTTCAGGACGCCTCACGCACCAGCAACACCCGGGCTGTCCTGTGAGCTGGAGTGAGGATGCTCGGCAGGTGCCAGGATCAGCGCTGACAGGTCCCGGGTGTGACCCCCAAAACTGTCTCCAGACATTGCTAAACGCCCCTCCAGGGGACAGAAGCCCCCTCCTCACTGAGAACCACAGGAAAGAACCCCTGTGAGAAATGAGCTCACTTGGGGCCAAGCTCACCTTCTTGACTCTCCACACGCTCTTCCCACGGGGCCCCTCTGGGACGCCAGCATCAGTCCCTTCTTGGCTTCTGACCCCGAAGCCCAGGAGGCAGGCTCACCTCCCTGCTCCGCCCAGCTCTCCCCTCCTGGCCTCCCTGCCCCAGCCTCCAGGCCCACTGCAGCCCTGCACTTATGACCCCAGGCCTGGATGCTGGTCCCTCTGGCCCTGCACGCGCTGGCCTCCCACACGGGCTCTGCCTCAGACGGGACGTCCCCACCCAGCGCCTGCAGACGCGCTCTCCCGGCTTGCTGAAACCCGTGACACTTGCCGCAGATGAGCCACTCATGTGAAAGTTGCCTGTGCCGCGACCTCTGAGAGTGATGTTTCCGAAACCGTGGGAAGAAGAGGCACCTTGGCTCCTTCCAAGGCGCAGAAGACAGAAAGACCCCCAAGACTCTGGCTGCCCTTGGCAAAGAGAGGGGCAAGGCAGGGGTGCTGTCCTAGCTGGGCAAGCGCCCCCGGGAACCTCTCCTCCCATGGCTGGGTCAGAAGCGGCCCGAGGTGGGAGAGCTGGGGCAGCGGACCCGGGGGCACAGCCGTGGGCACTGGGACGAGAGGCCAAGCAGCAGGGCTTTTCCGGGTGCTCTCCTGTGCCGGCAGGCGTGCTTCCGAGTCTCACGTCCCAGCCAGGACCGCAAGGGCAACAATCCGACTAGACTCTGACTCCCACAGCCTGGAGGCAGCGCTGGGCCCCCGAGACCTGGGCACCCCGACTTCTGACTGACCGGCTGGAAACCGTGCTAGAACAGTCCGCAGAACACAGAACACAGCACACACTCCGTTTACCGGCTCGGAACTGTGATTGGGCAGCTACGTGCACCTCCTCCCTCCTCCCTCCCCCGGCTCCCTGCTTCCTCCCCCACTGCTTCCTGCTCCCTTCCCCCTCCTCCCGGCACAGGCAGGCCCACAGCAGGTGGCAGAGACAAGAGGGGCGTCAGCCTGCACTGGGGGACGTGAGGGAATCACACTGGGTAGATCCAGACCCCACACTGTGACTCCGCGGACCCCACTAGCTGGGAGCCCCCTGACACCCAAATCGGCCTCTGCGTTCTTTACTTGTGGCAGGTCATCACCAACCTGTGAAAAAGTGCAGAATGAGAGTTAGGCCTGAGCAGAGCCGGGCAGAGTTCTACACAGCCCAGAGAGGGGGCAGAAGCCTTGGGAGAGGTCGCTAGGTCAGGGGGCCAGCGGGACCCCAGGGTCAGTTACCCTGAGGGACGAGCTGCCTGGTCACCTAGAAACGCTGCACTGACGGTGATCCCCTGCCCCCGAGGCTCACTGAGAGCTTGCCCAGGCTCCTCCCCGTCCCTGAGCCCCACAAGACACGGGGCTCCAGGGCGGGTCCCCCTACCCTGCTGCCTGGGCTACAGCGTGAGCGACCCTGCATCAGTAAGTCTCCTGGCCACTGGTCTGGGGACTCACATTGATCTGTCCAACTGTGGCCTCTCCTCCTGACCCACAACACGGCTGTCACTTCCTGTCACTGCCCGTGGGCCGTCTGCTTGTGGTTGGGGCCGGGGTCCCGCCCAGGGCTGGTCAGTCCAGCCTCCAAGTACACGGTGATTGATCTGGAAGGGAACTGCTGTCCTCCTCCCTCCCCATCCTCCCTCACTCCTGGATCACAGCGGAGCAGACAACTCGAAGCATTAGGTTCTGGGAGAAACCACTTGGAAAATGCTCTCCCAGTCTCTCCTGTCCCACAGCGGCATGTGGCCCAAAGGCACAGAAGGGACACAGCCCCGGGATCGGCGCTCACTCAGTGGCACATCTGAAACCCGGAGGGGCCCGCCATCTGGCCACTGGGCTGCAGCAGAGGAGGGCTGAGTGTCACAGGGCATTGTGGAGTCCCCGCGGGGCCCAGGCACCTGGCCGGCCCCTTCGAACCCCGCTGCCTGGTGGCTTCTGCTGGAGCACATCAGCTCCCCGCAGGCGGCTTCCAGGACGGATGGCCTGTGTGTCTCCATTCGTTGCTGGGTCCAGGGTCCTGCACCAGTCACTGTGCAAAGAGGCGGCATGGGCCAGGGGCTGATGGGTGTTGTGGAGCATGGAATGCGGGTCCCGTGGGAAGGTCAGGGTCCCGCCCAAACAGCTGGGACGGGGGAACTCTGCATGGGGGTCCTCTCCTCAACCCAATTCTTGGGACAGGTGATGCCAACCGTGGGCTGTGGACAGGCGCCAGGGACGTTGTCAGCTGAGCCTGGACACCTGGTCCCACTGTGGCTCTGAGACTTGTGTGCTCTCCCTGGGCAAATACAGCTTGGGAAAGCCAGCCTCTCTCAAGCCACAGCTGTGTTTACTCACAGGGACGGTTTTATGTCCTACTTGCAAAATGAACATTATTACCAATGCACACTCGTCTTGAATATAAATGACTAAAATGTTTACAGAGAAACTGAGGCCAAGTGACGTCTATGCCACCTCTGCGGCAGGTTGGGGACAAAGTGGCTGAGAGGACAAGGCTGCCCGCCCTGACCATGGGTGTGTCAGGCACAGGGAGCAAAACGCTTTCCAGAAGCGCGTTCTTACCACAGGCTCATGGCTCAGGAGAAGCCCGGTAAGGCTGTCCCTCCTCAGATGCGGACTCTGACCCACCCCCACACACTGGAGAGAAATGGGACCTTGGGCAAGTTAATTAATCCATCTCCTTTAATTCCCTCTTCTATAAATGGGTATAAAGCCGGTGGGTTGCAGAATGATGGCCCCCAGGATGGCCGTGGCCGGTCACTGCACCTGTGAACATATCAGGTTCTACGGCAAAGAGGGATCGAGATGGCCAGCGGCTGACCTGGGGACAGAGAGTGACCTGCGCCACCCAGGTGAGCCCGGTGTAATCATAAGGACCCTTCTTCCCAGGGGAGGAGGAAGGCAGGAGAGTTGCCAGAAAGATCTGAGTCACCGTTCTGCTGTCCCTGCAGGGGGGCAAGGAGCCCGGAGCGGCAGAAACCAGGCAGCCAGGAAACACGGCTTCGCCATCTCCACCGGGATTCGCGCGGCACAGCAAGCAGACGTGGGGCGAAGCCACGGAGTCTGTGATCACGTAGTTCACGCGGGGCCCCGCCTCGTGAGGCCGAGCTGAGCGGAAGTGACCAGGCTCCGCGCCGCACCTTCCCGGCAGAGCTCCCTCCCCTCCCCCCTTCGCGGGACTGAAGGGTCAGGCCGGGCTTCCCAGTGCCCTTCAGCTCAGCGGGCATTTACTCCGAACCCACAGCAGAGCTTCTAGACCCAGAAAAAATCTGGATGCACGCAAGATAATTAGGAAATAATTCAGGTCTTTGTCTGAGTCCCTCAGCAACGCTAACAGAATGAAGAGGGGACTTTTCCCTTCTCTGTTGAGTCATGAGTGGCTTAGCACGTTTGTAGCCTGTCCCACGAGGCAGTCACAGCACCAGCGCCCCCAACACCGTGCCGTGTGTCCCCTGCACGCAGACACACGTCGAGAGCCCGGAGCCCCGGCATGCGGCCGCTCTTGGGTAAAATTCAATTACTTCATTTGCCTCTTGAAAAATAACTGGTATCAACCGGAATGCGTAATTGTCCTATTTCAGACTAGAAACAGGTATTAATATATTCAAATCTGTAGTGACTCGGAGTTGAGCAAAATGTGAAAAACAAAATTCTACACCAAGAACAATTTCCCCTGGAGCCGGTTCTCGAAATAATCAGGGTCAAATCATTTGATGAGTCACGATGGATGAAGAGCCAGGGAAAAATGTCACCTGCCGAAGGCTGGAGGTCATCAACTCTGCCCACTAATCGCTAATTAGTCCTCCAGAAATACCTCCTGCCCTAATTGTCTGGCAGCAAACGCAACAGTTTGGGTGGGTGGATCTTAGAAAATTAGAAATTATTCCTGGAAATGTCAATTCTACCCCACAACAAGAAGTCGGGAGTTGCAGTCATTTGCATATCTTTAAGATTCTGGTTAAAAACCACAACACTCCTTTAAGAAAGCCTTGTCCTCTTTTTACAAGAAGAAGCAAGGTTAAAACTTGTTTTGTAACTGCACATAACGATATCAGTATATCTATCTCGGTAGAGTAGTTAGGGGCGTTGTGATAAGTTAATGGAAGACGAGTGTCTGATGTAGCAAATCTCAATTAATCCGATATTTCGGTTGTGGTTGTGTTGTTGGACTTCAGCCTCAATTCTACTTTTCCTGAGTACAGTGAGTGAGATGGAACGCTGATCTGTGACCCGGGTAATTTAGATCCTGCTGTTAAATTAATTAAACAAGAGGCCATTAGGCTGCCAGGGCTCTGAGGCCTGGGAGGTCCACTTAAGCAAACTGAAATCAAGGCCCGTGAATGTCTCAGGGCTGCAGCATCACTCACGATGCTGAGGACGGCCAGTCGCAGACCGCCAAGGCGGCTTGAAGCTACGGCCAATCCCACCTTCTCTGCCCTCCCTCCCCGGTTCCCATCAGCGCCAGATGCGTGTCCGATGCGGCCCTGCTCCACGGGAACCCGGTTTCTGCACAAACAAACTCTTGTAGCGTTTCATACACCTCGGTTTATCCTCCACCTGCCCTCCACCCCAGTCCTCCCCTGCCCTGATATGGCGGGAGGCTCAGTGCCGAGTTCTGCCAACGCCCCTCTGTCTCTCCTAGACCTGGTGTCACTGGGTCCAAAGGACAGAAGCCACAGGGCAGCCGTGCACCGCCTTAATGAGGTCCTTTCTCATGCCTGCCACTGCTTTGGGGAAAAAAAGAGGGAAGGAGGGAAAGAGGGAGGAGGGAGGGACGAAGGGAGGAAGGGAGGGAGGGAAGAACAGCACCCAGTTATCTACGGTGCGAGCTAAGGAAACGCTGCATTATTTGTCTTTGACCAACCAAACCCACTCCCAGCTGCAGCAACTGCCCTTCGGCCAGTCTCGTGGGACTGGAGGGTCTTGTGAGGCCGAGGGGGGCCGTGTTCGGCTGCCGGTGAGTTGGGCCTTGGGAGATTGTTTTCTATGAGGATTTGTTTTCAACCTTTCAACGACACATCCCTTTTAAAAATGGACGCTACCCTCAACCATTCTCTTACACCGTACACAAAGATAAACTCGAAGTGGGTAAAAGACCTCAACGTGAGACAGGAATCCATCAGAATCCTAGAGGAGAATATAGGCAGTAACCTCTTCAATATCAGCCACAGCAACTTCTTCCAAGATATGTCTCCAAAGGCAAAGGAAACAGAAGTGAAAATGAACTTTTGGGACTTCATCAAGATCAAAAGCTTCTGCGCAGCAAAGGAAACAGTCAACAAAACAAAGAGGCAACCCACGGAATGGGAGAAGATATTTGCAAATGACAGTACAGACAAAAGGCTGATATCCAGGACCTATAAAGAACTCCTCAAACTCAACACACACAAAACAGACAATCATGTCAAAAAATGGGCAGAAGATATGAACAGACACTTCTCCAATGAAGACATACAAACGGCTATCAGACACATGAAAAAATGTTCATCCTCACTAGCCATCAGGGAGATTCAAATTAAAACCACATTGAGATACCACCTTACACCACTTAGAATGGCCAAAATTAGCAAGACAGGAAACAACATGTGTTGGAGGGGATGTGGAGAAAGGGGAACCCTCTTACACTGTTGGTGGGAATGCAAGTTGGTGCAGCCACTTTGGAGAACAGTGTGGAGATTCCTCAAGAAATTAAAAATAGAGCTTCCCTATGACCCTGCAATTGCACTACTGGGTTTTTACCCCAAAGATACAGATGTAGTGAAAAGAAGGGCCATCTGTACCCCAATGTTTATAGCAGCAATGGCCACGGTCGCCAAACTGTGGAAAGAACCAAGATGCCCTTCAACGGACGAATGCATAAGGAAGATGTGGTCCATATACACGATGGAGTATGATGCCTCCGTCAGAAAGGATGAATACCCAACTTTTGTAGCAACATGGACGGGACTGGAAGAGATTATGCTGAGTGAAATAAGTCAAGCAGAGAGAGTCAATTATCATATGGTTTCACTTATTTGTGGAGCATAAGAAATAGCATGGAGGACAAGGGGAGATGAAGAGGAGAAGGGAGTTGAGGGAAATTGGAAGGGGAGGTGAACCATGAGAGACTATGGGCTCTGAAAAACAATCTGAGGGGTCTGAAGGGGCAGGTGGTGGGAGGTTGGGGGAACCAGGTGGTGGGTATTGGAGAGGACATGGATTGCATGGAGCACTGGGTGTGGTGCAAAAACAATGAATTCTATTATGCTGAAAAGAAATTTAAAAAAATAACAAAAAAAATAATAAATAAAAAATAAAAATGGACGCCGCCCGCTCAGAGGAGGAGACAGAACCACAAACCAGTGCTTCCTGTCCCTGCGCGCAGCTGCGTTTCCACAGATGCAATTACATATGCTCCTAAGACACCTCCTGTCCCAGCGGGGCTGCCCCGGGCTCACTGGAGAACGTTCTCGTCATCTTAGGTGAAACGAGCGGATGAAACCTGCGTCCCCCAGTCCCAACACACCGCGCCCGCGTTGAACAGCACCGTTCTCCAGGCTCCTGGCGTGGTTAAAAATGTTTAGAAAACTTTTCAAACACTGTTCTCTAAAGTTCCAGTTGACTGCCTCCGCCTTTGACTGAAACCGTGGGTAGATACTGTCGTACGTTGGCTGTCTATCATGAGAATAAAAAACATCATTGCAAACTCAATAAAACACCCCGTAAAAATAAAACAAATCCCTCTTTCGAGGGGTCAAGATCCAGTTTCCTGGCCTCTCAGGCACATGTGCGCCTCTCGGGCGGGAGGCAGCTCCTGAGTTTCCAGGCGAAGCCAATGCTTGTTCAACCCGCGGGCCTGGCGAATGGGCTTTCCCAAACCGCAGTAATAGAAAACACATCACATCTGATCGGAAAGGACCCTTGCCGGAAACGCTAACCGTTCTTCTCCGACTCCGGGGAAGCGGGATTTCCACGGTTGTTTGCAGACACGGCGACGTCTCCGCCAGGTGCCCGTCCCCTCCCCGCCAACACCTGCCTTCCCGGGAAGTCAAGCGCCCTTGGAATAAACAAGGGACGGGTCCCGTTCGCAGCTCGGACGGGAAGTGTGAGGGAGAAGGAAACGCGCTCCTGTCCGCACACGGGGTCTCCCAAGTGGAGTTCACGAACCATATGGAATAAAGAGTAAACCCTGGCTAATGACCGGGGCGGGGGGCTTCAGGAAGCCGAGGACTGAGAACGCCTCCTCTGAGTTAACCGCTTCACGACAGGCGGACGGAAAGCCCCAGCCACCCTGGAAGAAAATGTCTCCGGCAGAAAGTGCCGCAAAACCTCAGTGACTACATTCTCAAATAGCGACCAGAGCGCTTTAGAAGTCGGCTTCCGGCCCAGCCAGGAGACCCCCCGCGTCCCCGCCCGAGGGTGAGGGATGCGCGGCGTCAGCGCGTGGGGACGGTCGCCCGCGGCCGCTGCTCATTACGTGTCGGCGCCTCCAGCTTGCGTTTGTGGGGTGGGTCCTCGATGATCCTGTCCAGGTCCCCGCGGCTCTTCAGGTCCACAGGCTTCTCCCACACGGACAGCTGCATCGTCGGGTTGAAGAAGAAAACCCGGTCATCGCCCGTCCAGACCACGCACCTGTTTGAGTGGAAAACTCGCCTCAGTTCCCCGCGAAGACATTGAATTTAGAAATCAGCGGCGTGCGACCCGACCCAGAAACCCCTGGGGCCCGAAATTCTCACCTTGGCAAAGGTTATTCTGTCCCATCTAAGTCATAATGGCCGTGTCTGGCTTTCTGGGGGGTTTCACAGAGCTTCTCCTATTTCCCACTCAACTAACGGGTAAATACTCTCCTGACTGTCCTTCTGTGGGTTAAGGACAGCAGAGCTGAGCAAAGCAGGCAGCTGGACGTGGCCCTGGGGGTCCAAGCTCGTCCTGGCACACCAGCTGCCTCCGTGTGACCCTGCACTCTGGGGACCTCTGGCCGCCCACAGGGGGCCACGTTATTTGGAGGGGCTTCCCGGTACATATTGCTGATTCCCGGGACTTGGAGACATCGGCACATCCTACTCTCCTATATCTGAGACATTAAACGGGCCACTGTGTTTGCCAGCTCTGCCCACATTCTCCAGTTTGTTTCTAGAAGAACAAAGAATCAAGCTTTGTGTTTTCATAACTAGGAATCTGAAATCTCCAAACGGAGTAAGAGGCCATTTGAAGACCCCACCTCTGAGGAGGGCATCAGAGAGGGGAAAGATTAAGAAGAAGTGACGAAAAATGAAACAAAGAAAGGCTGGGACCTGTCCCTAACGTGTGTGAGTGGGTCTGTAAGGCTCTGTGCATAGGAACCCGGGCCCAGCAGTGGCCCAAAGAATGCAGCCTCGCAAGGCCCCCGGCCCGGCCTCTGGCTCCGTCCCAAGGGTGGGCCGGGGTGGGGCAGCAAGGCCGCTTCTGGTCTGGTCTCCTGGACGTTTCTCCTTGGGCAAGTCCTCCCCCTCCCTGGGCCCCAGCTTCCCACAGCGGCCTCCCAGAGCCCTGCAGGCCAGGGTTCCCGGATTCCAGAAGCGGTGGGACTGCGCAGGAAAGCCCACATGTGCTGAGCACCTGTGGCTATTGGTTTTCCTCTAACCGGGGACCTCTGCCAATGAGGAGCCGCCTCTAGGCCCTGCCTTCATCCCTGGTGACCGGCTGCCCCCGTGCCCGGCCGACCACACGCAGCTGTGCGCTGTCAGGACGGAGCCAGCCAGCTCGACACTCAGCTCTGCACAGGGGACACCCTCCAACCTGCATCTGCCTCCTCGCCCAGCCAGACACTTCCCATGGGCCGTGCAGAGAGCTTGGGGGCTGAACCCCGCGTTCTGGGATTCTGAACAGACCAGGCTTCTTCCCAGAGGGGTGCTGAGATGGTCTGACGGATCTGTATGCTGGTTGGGCCAGGGCCGTGGGTGTGGTAGGCAGAATGAGGCTCCCTAAAATGTCCACGTCTTAATCTCTGGGACTGGGAATGTGTGACCTCCCACAGCAAGGGCAGCTTTGCAGCTGTGGTAAGCACTGTCTTGAGATCAGAAATGATCCTGGATTGTCTGGGTGGAAGAGGGAGGCAGGAGGGCCCGAGTTAGAGGAGGAGAGGTCACGGAAGCAGGGGTCAGACACACCCGAGGCTGGGGCGGGGGAGGGAGGACCCCACGTGTGGGTCTCCGGGACAGAGGACGGGCTAAGGAAGACAAGAGGCCCCAGAAGCTGGAAAAGGCAAGGAACCTGGTCTTCCCCGGACCTCCAGGAGCAAACGGCCCCACCCACACCTAGATTTGAGTCCCGTGAGATGCAGTGGGATTTCTGACCTCCAGAATTATGAGATGCTAAATTTGTGGAGTTGAACCTTCTGGGTTTGTGGCAGACTGTGGCCCGTCTCTGTCCTGGGCACCAGCATCAGAACCCGCCTCCAGCCGGAAGTCACCCAAACCCCAAGCAACGGGCCCACACGCACTGCCAGCCATTGGCCCAGACACTGAAGGTGGAAGACGGTGACCCGCCCTCTGGCTGACATCTCCTTCAGCTCTAGGGCTGTCCTTGACCTTCAGGTGACCTTGGGAGCTTCCCCTCATCCAGGTGGCCTCAGTTCCATCCTGTGTGTAGGACGGTTTGGAATGGAAATGTGCATTATTCTACCCCACCCCACCCCACCCCACCCCACCCCCGTTATGGGGACTTGGAGGCAAGTCGCCGGGTCCCTGTGTTTCTGAGAGGCAGGGGGCTCTTGGGCCCACAGGGGTTTTTGCCCAAGTCCGTGCAGGGGCTGGAAGTCGAGGGGAGGGTTGGCAACCGGGAGCAGGACTTCGGGTCCCGTCCCTGCCTTAGCGTGCCTGGGTGGGCCCTGCTTCGCCTCTGCACGCCTGAAGGAGCGATGAGTTTTGTCGTGAGCTACTCGTCGGCACCGGAAGTTTTTATAGAGTTTAAGCCGAAGGTAATCCAAAATCCAGATGGGATTCTGGGCTGGCAGGGACCACAAGCCCTGTCCGAGCAACACGGCTCCTCCCCACTCAGACACAGCTCCAGGGAGGGAGGGCGCCTGGCTTGTCTGGGGGCTGTGCTCCCGGGAGCACGCAGCCCTTGTCGGGGCACCCCACTGGCCCAGCCCGCGCGCGCTCGGGGTCCCGGAGGGATGGTTTTCCTGGGCTCATCAGCACCCGGTTTCTCAGGACGGTGGTTCCTGCCGGTCAGGGACAAGCAGCGCTGGGGGTGCCGGCAGGCGCTGAGCCCCTCCTGACACTGCCCTGTGCGCTCTCATGCTCCTGGTGCCCACAACGGCCCACAACGGCCCCACATGCGGCTGCGGGAGCTTCTCTGACTGCAGGTCCGAAGCTGCCAGCGGCAGGCTCGTCTGTGGTGTCTGACGGCACTTGGCCTGAGCGGAATATTCCAGAGCAACTCTGGCTCCTTGCGTTCCCATCGGCCCCTCACCACAGCGTCTGCCCAGGAGCCCCGACCTCACCTGATGGGGCAGAGAACGACTTCCGCCAAACCTGCTGCAGCTAACAGACCTCATGGGGACCACGGCCCCTGGCGGCCGGGCACCATGTCGCCCCCACCGCTCCCCAGCAGCCCCAGAGCCCCACCCCCGGCACTGACTGACCTGCTCCCTCCTCTAGAGCCCTGGAGGGAGAGAGCACTCAGCTGGGAGTCCGGGGGCGCAGAGACCTGCCCTACAGTGCGGCTTGGCCTCTGTGCCACCCCACACCCCACCCCAGCCTGCAGAGCCGTGGTCTTGCCATCCTCATTTTTAAAAGGCTGATGGACGAGGGTCTAGTCCCAGATGGTTCCCTAAATCCCTCCCAGCCTTTATTCCACTTTCTGTTCTTTTCCCTTCATTTCCCAGTTTGGGGCCAGACCCCCAGTTATGGTCCTGCTGCCGCCCCTCCCCTCACAGGCAGGTGCACCCAAGCCCGGATCCCGCGCTCGGTGGCCCGGGGCTCATGGCCGCGCGTCCTTAGTCCTTAGATAATGTGCTCAGCCTGTTCCGACCCCTCCCTAAGGCTGCGCCTCTGCTGGGGCTGTCTGTAGCTCCTAACTGCCTGACTTGGGGTGAAGGGGTGGGTGCGATCCATGGTCCAGGGCCCCCAGTCTTGGCCGCAGCTGCCCTGTCCGCTTTCCTGATCCCTCTGCCTAGACATCCCTCCTTCCTAACACACAGGCATCCAGATCACTCCCGCTGCTCCCTCTGGGACACGGAGCAGGACAAACCCCAAAGGGGAGGAAGGACTAAGTGTTCCAGGAGGCTTTCCAACAGGTGAGACAGTAGCTATGCCTGTACCAGGGACACCTGCCTCCACGTGCCTCCACCGCCTCCCTCCTCCCTAGAAGACCTGCTCTCCGGGTCCTTCAAAACCAAGACCCGCTGCCGCCAAACACGGCACAGCCATTCCTACGGCCACGCAGGGACGCAGCCAACAATGTGAGATATTTACTGGGAAGGGAGTGGTTAACCAGGCTCTGTGGACGTGACACGGTCCTGGGACACGCCCATTCATCCCACAAGCAGCTGGGCCGCGGAAATGCAGGTTTCCAGTGGCTTGGAGCGCTGTCTGTCTGGCTGTGGGCATGGGGAGAGAGCAGAGCTGGCTCTGGACCAAGGTCCATGAAGGGGCCCAGCCTCAGATCACCTCCACGCCCTCCCACCTGGCTCTGGGAGGCTGTCCTACCATGGAGCAGCTGGCCTCCTAGGTGGTCGACGCTAAGTCGCTCGTCTCCCTAAGACCCAGGCAGGGTGCTGGGTCCCGAGAAAGTTCTGGTCAGCAGAGGGGAGTGGACTTGAGAATAAGAAGCTGAAGATGAGGGGAGATCCCACTGCTCCCGGGTTGTGCAGCCCACGTCCTGTCATGCAGTGTCCGGGGGCTCAAGAGCATTCCCACTCGGGGCCCTCGGCAGCCACGAAGCAATCTCGCGTTGACCTGACACTGTGCTCAAGGAAGGCCAATGGGTCTGGGCAGGTGGGCCTGGGTGGTTGAGCCTCACGGGTCAACTGGGGCAGCGAGTCTGGACAGGTGGCTTATAGCCAGGGGGGTCTGGGCACACAGGCTGGGCACCCGAATCTGGACTAGAAGGCCCAGCAGCTAGGTGGAAGTGGGGGTCTGGACAGGAGGCCTCCACGGAAGGGTCTGCAGGGGGCCCGGCCAGCAGGGAATTAGGGTCTGTGCTGAAACAGCCCCCCAGGGCCAGGCTGACTAGTGAGAGGGGCCCCAGGGTCCTGGCCCCTCTAGTGGAGAGACGGAGGCAGGGGAGGCCCCTGTGGGACCCACTTGAATTCCTGCCAGGGTCTTGGTTTCCAGAGAAAACCAGGCGTCACATCAGCACAGACCGGAGCAGCCAGGGGACGTCCGCTCTCTCGAGCACCAGGCGCCTCTGCTGAGGGCTGCCAGCCTGCTGAGCCCGGTCCTCCCTCCTGCCGCCTGCCCTGTCCCCAGTGAAACCCGGCCCCCACACTCGGAAACACGCCGCCCTACGGCAAGGCCCAGATCTTCTTCCCCGGGTGCACCACTAACTTCCCGAGGGACCCTGCCCCCGGCCCCACGTGCTGCTGTTAACTCTAGGAAGAGACTCACACCGGGGACATATTTGGCACAATTCTCCACCGATCCTGG